CACTTTTGGGCAGTTTTTTCTCCTTTCCAGAAGGGTGGAATTTCTCTTAACTGGCTGGAAGTTACGGCTCTACGGTGTAATCCTATGGGTTTATAGGCAAGAAAATGTCTAGAGCATATTGGGAGTTATAGGACTTTTTTATCTAACCATGCATTGAAAAGTACCTTTAAGCTACAGTCTGTATTTTGGAACCTATCCCTTAGCTCCATTGAGGAAGGCACTGTGGCATCCAAGACCTTCTCCAAAATGGAATTAAGCCACTGGTTCCTTGCTTGCCAAGTATGCCAGTGGTCACCATGATGAGAAAGAGAAGGAGGAGGAGCAAGAGCAGCTCATGGTGGTGAGAAGGCCATCACCGAGGCCACCTTGCCCAAGGGCCCTCCGAAGCCTGGAGCCAGCCTTGACAAGGAGATGACTCAGAAAACACTGTAATGCAACTCTGGAAGGTTGTGCCGCAGAAACGAATGAGCAAAGGACAGCAATTCCAGAGATACAGGCTCATAGGAAACCCCAAGAGTCCACCTAGCCAAGCTTCCTGTTCAGCAGAGGCCAAGAAGATGCTGCCAGGAAACTCACGACCTTTGTGTGAAAACTGCAGTCCTATCCCACTGTTATTTCCCCCTTACACCCATTATTATTCATGAAAGCTGTACCACCAAGCTATTCAGTGCCAAATAGTCTCTGAATCCAGGAGTTCCATAAATCCCTCTTGACTAACAGACCTGGCCAGCCCCTTTGAGACCTCCCCTGCCCTCACTCCCTGCAGTCTCCTGCCTTTCACGTGGTTAGGACACTGCTCTGCAAAGCAGTCCACGTCCTCTCCATTAAATGCATGCTTCTATTTGCTCTTGTCTTGGGATTGCCTATCCATCCTCCGTACCCAGTTATTACAAACATTGTAATTACTTCTTTGTCCTTAGCTCAACTGCCTGCTTGTTAAAAGGTTGCAGTAATAAAAACCCTCATTTAAGAATCCTTCTGCCTTGAGTAGAAACCAAGTCTCTCATCTATTTCACATCAGCAGTTTGCCTTTGGGAACTTGGAGCTATTTAAGACCCCAGATCTACGTAGATTTAGGAGAGACTAATCAATGCTGCTAGTGCAGAGCAATTCAGAATTATATGGTCATGCTGAATGGTTTCTTCTAATCTCCCAGCAAGCACCACCAAGCTCAGGCCTGGGACGGAATGAAACACATGCAAGGCCTGGAATTTGGAACTCTGTCTGTTCCCTGTCAAATTTGATTCAGGGCATTTGCATTATATCTTGTTGGCATGAATGATTTAATAACAATAGTTAATGTTTTTATAGAGCTTTCAGAGCGTCCAAGGCACTTGGTGTATGGCAGCATCTTGACAACAGCCAGTGAAAGAGGGCTGAGCAAACTGAGCCCTCACCGAGGACACCAGCGGAAGCGGGTGCAATGCACAATTTGGTGATTTGGTGTTTGTTGAGCACTCTGAACTAGGGCAAGAGAAAGCAGTACATCTGTCAGCCGTCCCTTTCCCACTGCCGTTCTACGCCTTCTTTGGGTACAAGCTCTAAACATGATTCTTCATCCATTTCTTTTGAAGCGGCTTCCAACCTCCAGTTTAATGTCATTTGTTCGCGATTAAAAGGATCAGAAAATGGTTTTACTCTGAGACACTAGCAGGTGTTAAAAGAACTACAAATGTTATAAAAGGGCATTGACTGTAATAGATGTTGTAAGCTAACCTGAGGGATGGATTCCAGAACAGCGGGTGAAGTCAGGCTATTTCTAGGCTGCCTTGGAAGGCTCCTGAGTGACTTATATATGCATTTTATTATGACCATAAAACTCACATCATAAAAAAGATGCAGCAATACAACAGCTAGCATCCACAGAATCATCAAATACCAGCTCTATAACATCTGGCCTAGACAGTCCTAAAAACCTACAACATGAGTGAAGCTACAAACCTAAGTGATCTAGTAAAATGTAATCATGGGAAGGTCAAAATACACACTTGGGAAAACCACAACCACAAGCTGTTTTATGGGTCCTTCTACCCAACAGGTATCCAACAGAACCTGCTTTCTCCAGTGTTGGGGGGCGGCATATCCACTCTTGGTTTTAATCTGAACTTTGAAGGGGATGTCCATGGTGCTGAACTCAATCTCCAGTGAACCCAATGAGTTCAGTGCCTCGGGCAGCTCCTGAAAATTCAGGTCACAACCCAGAGTGTCCACCACTCCATGGACATTGGACGCACCAGTCCTCATTGTCAGTATACTTAGTGGTGACTGACAGGTTCTCCAGAATTTCAGGGTTGCATCCTTCCCAGCCAGGGGCCTGAACCCAGGGCCTTCTGAAAAAAAGCATGCACTGTACCACTGAGCTATGGCCATTCTTCCCTCCCGGTCTTCCTCAAAGCCCGCAGTGATGGCTCTTGACAGACCTTGAAGGGCAGATGGGCTGATCCAGGTGAAGTCTATGAGAAAGACCTAGTATCCCTGAAGCCAGGGAGTGAACCAGGGTTTTTTGGAAACATTTGGGTTGCTTAGGTTGCTCAGTTGCTTAGGCTCAAAATACCCAACACAGAGAGCTTAGCAATTATTACCTCTATTTTTTTAGGGCTCAAAGCAGCCTTGGGGAAAGTAACTGTTTTTCCTCCTGGATGGAGAAATGCAGTTTCCATACCTTCTCTGTAAAACAGTACCCCCATCTTGGAACCAAAACAGCCCACCCAGAAAGATGCCTTGTTGAGTGGCATCAAAAGTCATCGAGACAGCAAAGAGAACCATCAAGTCTGCACTCCCCAGTCTCTTTCTTGGAAATTGCTAGCCCACAGGACAATCAAGCCCATTTCTGTGCACAGACCAGGCCAAAAGCCACAATGAAATTGATGTAGCTCAGCAGCTTCATTCAAGCATGTCTGGGGTTGATCACCAACCATGTTCTTGACACCTTGCTGAAGAAGGGGACGCTGGAAAGTCCCAATCTACCTTCTGCCTGTCCCTGATTGAAGACTTTGTGGAGGACCTGGTCAGCTATCGTGAGAAACAAGGCGACGAGCAAATTAGACTCTTGCTCTGATCCAGCAGGGACCCTACTTACTGCAGTCGCTGCAGCATTTTCCCCTTCTGAAGAGAATGCATGCACTGAAAATTATAATTCATATTCTTCACAGTTCCTCCACTGTGTGTCCCAGCAGGTTTCTAACAAGAAGACGGTACTACCAGGGGAAAGGAATAGCTGTGATGTATTTACGGCCCCTAATAACACCGATACATTAACAGCTTGCAGAAACAAACATATGCTTAGGGTGCAGTCTTACTGAGATGAGCGTGAGCTGCTCCGTTCCTTCCATGTTGCATTTTTGCTGGAAAGTTTTCATCCATCTAGCTGGGGCATCTCAGAGGGGGATGGAAGGAGGTTGGAACAGCCTCAGCATTGCTCAGATTCTGGCAGCTCCGATCCTCTTTCCTCCTTATTCTCTAAAATGCCCCATTTACCCACCAGATGCAATTCCCAGCCTTGGAGAGCTGCTGGTGCAGTTCTTTCCATGCCAGCTGTGAGACGGCAGGGCAGAGGGTCGGGAGCTATTGTTGCCTAAAACAGGGTTGGTGCTTAGGCTTAGAGCTGGGAATGCAAACTATTTTTGAGCCCTCAGGCAAGGTCTAGGGGGCCATAGGAATGTTCCCTGCATTGACTTTCCCGTTTGAAAAAGATGGCTTCTCTTGGAGCTATTGTTTAAAGTAGGATTTGAGCACTTAGCTCGCCCAACTCTTTTCTCTAAAAACTGTAAGAGTCATTTATCTCACTTATTCATCTATCACCTCTAATCATTTGCCAAATCAAAGCCACTACGCATGAGAATTCACGCTATCCATATTCCAAGGACAATTTTTTTTCCTCCCAGTTTGGAATCACTGTGGCTGAAGATTGCATTCTACTCCTCTCGCAATAACATCTTTAAAGAGTTTATTCATTCTGTATATTTATTTTTAATTGACTGGCTGCCTGCAGCCATCAGGGCATTGATCTGACTCAGGGCAGGTACAGGAAGTTTAGAAGTCAGGCCTAGAGGATCAAACAATCCAGGGTCATGTACAGTGATACTTTGGTTCAGGTTGCCCTTTTGGGATTCTAGTTACTTGTATATTGAGTGATTTGATTTATCTATCCCACTTCAACAGGCTTGTTTACAAAAAGTTAAAATTACAACACCTTAAATTACAATAAAACAAAAGCATAGTGATATATTAAGTAACCACAATGTAAGAGCAGTACAATTGTAATATACTTATTATTACGTTCATGCCCCTCCTTCTTTCCTTCCAAGGAACCCAAGGCAGCTTATATAATTCTCCTCTTCCTCTTC